TAAATTCTATTGAGCTGCACTGTATTTGGTTTTCGATTACTTATTAAAGGTACAAATAATAATGATATTTATTTATTAGATTCTATATCGACATTTGATAAACCCGAAGCTGAAGTACTTTTTTCATTATATGAATCAGATATATATCTTCAATATGCATTTGATTTACCATCAGTACCTATTTTACCACTAATAGAAAAAAAAACGCCGTGTTTATTGTGTTAATACAACAATAACATCAGCTAAAAATTCTTTATCAGTATCAAATAAAGTTATATTTACAGCAATAGAAAATAATAAAGTGAAAATCTTTCATAATTAAACAGATGTTAATAGTAATAATAACATAATAATGAACAAGGAGAAACAATTAATATAACAATAAATGATGGAAGAATTTTCAATATACTTGATTATAGTTCAACATTACAAGAAGCACAAATTCAATCAGTATCTGCATGTGAATATATTAAACAACATGCTAATGTTGATGATCTTTTATTTAAATCGGATTTTGATAGACAAGCTATTCAATAGTAAAAGTAGGATCAAAACCAAGAATGAGTATATATTACAAGTGGACGAATTTCCACCCGGGTCAAAAATTCGATAACGGATCCTATCGGAACCTGAAAATCGATAAAATCCGATAGGATTCCAGGTTGCGGATTTTGTGACGGATCTGACGGTCGAATACTCAAGTTTCCGATGAATTCCAGTTCCTGGATTTCGGAGTATGAAATTAGTCATCTGGAATTGTCTGAAAAGCTGTTCATTGATCTTTTCGTTCGGATGGATTTATTTTTATGAAAAGGAAAAGGGATAAATATTTTTTCAGACGATTCATCTTCCTTTGGTTGCAAGTGTCGTTAAGGAAACATGCTGCTGAATGATGGACATGTTGTGTGAATGTTTAGAAGTTATTGTGGGTTTGTGGCTAATATAAGGCTTTGGTATGTTGCGGTTAATGCTTTCCGGAATAGTTGATGAATGGTTTTCAGAGATGGTTATGGAGGCACGATTTTTAGTTTCTACCATTGATTGATATTTATTCCTATGTTTGTTCTGAGTAGCTGTGGAAATGGATCGTTATTTGCTTATGTATGTTGCATATAGCTATTGAACTTTTTGTATCTGTTGTAGTCTTGCTTTGTTTTCGACTTATAGTTATTGGGTAACATTCTAATGAATGTTGATAACCGAGTCTGATTATTTGTTTTTTATGATCGGTGATTAGTATTATTTGATAGGTTATTTTAAACGGAGTTACAGACCGTTCTATTTACCGGCAACTCACGACATCATTGTAAGATGTAATGTGTAGTCATTCTTTTAGTAGAAAATTTCTCGGCGGAGTTTGATCGCTACTGCTTTAGTAGGTATGGATATATTTGCGCTGGATTTATTACAAATATTATAAGATAATTTGAAGCTGAAATAAGATCGATCTTGAGTGCCTTTTGATTCAGTTTTGTCGATTTTTGTAGATCATTTTCGTTATGTTGTTGAACGGCAGTTTTAAGTATGAACTACGTGTAAAGTTATAGTTCCTTAAATGTGTTATTGAGGAAGAAAATTAATTAGTTTTGTTTGCTGTTTTAATAAAAGTCTTTATTATTGACGTGCAGTGCTTGTAATGAGAGACTCTAGTGGACTATGTTATAGAATTCACGTTTCGGAATTCTATCCCAATATGTTTGGTTATCATATATTGTTATTTGTAATTTGTGAACAGTGTATATAGTGTGTTGCGACGTTTTCATTGTCTCGAGTATAGGATTTGATCGATCACCAATAGTGAGAACCGATGGGATTCCGTCAGTAAGATTTTTATCGGTTGTCGACAGCGGTTTCCGATCGGATTTCGACAGTAGGATCGATAAGATTTCCGACATTTGGGTTTCCATCACGTTTTCGCATAACCCGGTTTCCGACAATAATCCGATAGGACCGATCGAATTTTATTGGAATCCGATAGGGTCCCGATAGGCTCCATTTAGGATGCTATCGGATTCATTGACCTGAGCAGAATATCGAATGTCATTGACATGAGAGATGTCACTTGATTTCTCATATGAATACTAAAATATATTTTTAGATATAGAAAACATGCTGATTGTCATCATTTATCGACAGTATGTTTAACAAATGGTAAAAAGCAGAAACGAAAAAGGAAAACAACAATTACTATGGCAGCAAATAAACGTGGCCATGGTATAAGTGCTCGTCGTAATACGAAAAATTCTGAGCAAGAAAAAAGGATGTGACGAAAATGAATCAACTGATGATAATGAAGAAGATGAAAGTGAACCAACAGATTTTGAACGCCCATTTGGTACAATATCTGAAATATCAAAATTAGAACATATGAATATTAAACAAAATAATAAAAATTTTGATGATCTTAATTAACATGAAGGTAAATTATTTTATGATCTTACAAATAAAATCGATCTGAAAACTCACACACAATCTGTTCTTATATTATCAACAATAAGTTTAAATCTATTAGGTGCTGTAAGAAAAATATTTTTCTTCAAAACAAAAACTATTTTTTATTCTAGTTATTCAATTTAAATGATAGAGATATGAGTGATAGTCAAACTATCTTTGAATATCTTGATCATGAATTAACTGTTCGTTTTGCTAATGATCTTATATGTACTAGTACACCCTGTGTTCAATGTCGTTCATCTCCAATCTGATCTCGACGTTCAATTCAACATTTTTATCAAGGAACTAAACAAGCATATCAACAACTTGATTGTACACTTCTCAAAACAACAACAATATCATTATCAACATTTATTTCTTTATATGCAGGTTTATCTGAAAAAGAATTGATTAAATTTAATAATACAACTCATCCAATAATTAATGAAGATGATTTATTAATCACACGTCATTGTAGTTCAGATACAGTCAATACACAAGATTATATACAATTAAAAGATTTATTTCAAAAGAAAAAAAATTCATTTAAATATCGTAAACCATATCAAACAGCGAATGCAAATCTTTCAAATAGCATTTTACCTATTATTATTAAAGATCGTATGAAACAACCAATTACAAATGATAAAACACGTTGTGCTGCACTTATTTCAACGAATGATAAAAATGAAATTCAAACAAAAATTTCCTATTGATTTATTTCTAGATGCTTCGTTACTTTCACTTCTTGCTTATTCTACATCAACATTTGAATGTGCATTTGAAATTGTTCTTGTTCTTTTAACATTAGCTAGTTTATCTAATATAGCTCGTGTTAATGAATTATATCCATCTATTGTCACAAAAGTGATTCAACCAAGAAAATATGCTGCGAGATATTATGATTTAGTAAAGAATTTTATTCAGAAAAAAAAGTAAATACTTAAAATTGTTTTCTTTTAGACTCAAAAAGTTGGTGCCGAATTCCAATTACATGGTTATGAATTAGTTATACTTGATCGTTATGCATATCGTTTATCACCCTCATTTATCATGGCATGGCGGTTTATTAAGAGAGCCACCATGAGACCAACGCGTATCATGTCAGATATTGAAGCACTCGTCAAAAAAAATTTTTCCATTTTTTATTTTCATCTTAACCGGCATCATCTGAAACCTCTAAATCCAAACTTTTAGTGCATTTGGATGAGTTGGTGAAAAGCTAGTCCAATTTTACTGGTGAGTAGTCACCAGAATATTTGAACAATATCCTCAAAAATCATCTCTATAAAGGCGAGTTTTTTCAGATAACAAAAGATTTAGAGTACAGATGAAACATTCGCAAATTTTTCACCAAATCCTAAAATACAAAGACTGCTGATAAGTCGCTTCTCTGAGTATTATCATATAGTATATATAGTTCAAATATGAGAACTTACTATCGACCTAGTAGGAAAAAATTGAAAAGAATTCAGTGTTAGATTACTTTTGGCCCATTCTGTATATTATACATTTTGATCCTCATCAGTCTAAAATCATTGCCTACAATATTGTAATACATTTATTATGTACAAAATCAATCATTTATACAAACAAGAATACAAAATAATCACATATATTCAGTACTAAGAAAATAGTTTCTGAAATCTTTTGAAAAGTGATGAACATTATCCAAATATACACAATTGATTTTTGAACAATTAATTCTTGTTTCAATTCTTTTAAAATGATGTGTTACTCTTCGTATAGAATAATAATCAACATAAAGGGTAAGATTAAATGGTAAAGCTGTTTTGGTATCAAGTAGAAATTCTTCAATATAATCATCATGAACTTCAGTAAGAAAAAGAGAAGTAAGATGTTGATAATGAATTAATGATAAATCTCTATTGTCATCTTTTGATTTCTCATGTTGTTTATGATTTTGTGCTTTCCAATTAGTTACAGTTAGTTTTTTTATGAATGGAAATGATTTTTGAATTCGAATAAAAAATTCATGTTGAAAAGGTTGTTCATCAAATAATGATACTTTACGAACATATGGGAATAATCCACCTGGAAAATTATTTGTAATACGTTCATAACTAATCAATGTAAAAGGATATGAATAAATATGACATTGACCTTTGTTTTCATCTGGAAAATAATCAACACAAGAAATAATTTCATTATTTGAAAAGTCTCTGAATGTATTTCGGATATCTTCATTTGATAATAAATCACTTTGATTATAATGATTAATGAATGAGCAAATATTAAATTTAAATGTCGTTAACCGTGGCAAATGAATTAGAATATTTGTTTTCAAATCATTCCCATCAACAAATGATTCTTCTCGAGAACAATTAAAATACAAACGAAGTTCTTCTAAATTTGACATTCGATGTAAAAGCGGTATAACTATTGTATCATAGAAATACATTTTCGAAACACAGGTCAATGAAAAATATCTTAGACTTAATAGTTTTTCCTAAGCCAAAATAGAATAATTTTCAATCAATTTTAAATTACTAAAAATCTACTTCAGATATTGTTGGAATTGAAGAAAGTGCTGATTGTATTTTAACATTGAATACATGGAGTTGATTGAAACGGCCATCAAGTAAATGAAGACAATCTTCAGCATTTCTAACGTTAATATGTAATTCGAATAAAGTTGATGAGCAAACCGATAGAGGCAATTTCGCGAATGATATGATTTGATAATAACTATCATACGGATTATAATTTAAAAATTTTAAATTAGGAAACATAGTAATGATATTTCTAATTATAAGTGCATTGAGATCAATGGACAAATATTCTTGGCCAATGGTGTGAATGACAAGTGATACGATCTGATTTTTGAATATATGAGTTAATGAAGTTTGACCTAAATAGAATATGAATATTGTTTTTCACATCTTCCAGTTAAATTAATTCTCTTGATTTTTACTATTAAAAAATTTTCAATACATTATATTTTACCTGTAAAATAATGTAACGCCTTGTCTTTCGTAAAGTTATATATTCCAAGTCCAGATAAATTAGAATAATTTCCAGAAAGAAGAATACGTTCCATAGATGAGGTTTCAAGATTAAACCATTTGATTTTATGTTCAATATTAGGTAAGATACGCAAACAAAATCGATCAACTATTGGATTAGGTAATGAAGAGATATGATAAATTGAGAAATATTCCATCAATGTCAAAGTATTTGTGAAAATATAATCATGTAAAACTTTATCTAATCGTTTATTGATATCCAGTAACGAATAAAGCAACGAGATATTATTGAGTTTTTTGAAAATAATCAAAAGAATTTCATCGGGTAAATCAGTCAATTTAATACGTGAAGATTTCATATTTATGTGTATATGTATGTTTCTTTTTCTTATCTTATTAAGATCAGAAATTGCATCTTTATATATGTTCGTTCTATCTGACCGATTTCGTCAATGAAAACAATGACATATTCTTAATCTGATTGTGTAATTGGCAACAGACGAATGAATGAATGAATGAGATTATTTCTTCTTTTTGTGTTTATTCTTCATATTTGATGAAAAATTTCTGAGTCATTTCATATAAAGAAGGTCAAATATAATGGTGGATACTTCCTTGAATAGTTAACACAAAAATACAAAGTATTTAAAAAAAATTCTTTTCTATATTTGCTTTTGTAGTTGGCTACGCATGGAAATATACCGTAGTATATTCCGAATGTCGTTCGTATTATGCATATCTTTGGCTGCCATAATGAAAAAAATAACTTTTTTCGTCAGTACAATCGATTATTTGGAGAAGTATATTTCATGTTTATCTGTATATGAATCTAATATAATTTTTAACTCAAAACAAATATTTATGAAACTGCGCAATGCTTTAAATGCTTATTTTCTTCATGTGCAGGTTAGAGTTATCTCCAAACGAATTCGTACTAGTGCACTCATCACCATAGTCAAACCAAGGTACTTTTTCAGAATGCGCATGCAGCCTCGTCCTCATCCCTTCTATCAGCCAATGTGTGCCCAGCTGTACATATTTTGAAGAGGTGGTGAAAGTGCATACATCTACAGAAAATAAACTATATTTCCTTATCAAATATTGTTTAATAACATACTCCAATTAAATTTTTCTTCACATTTCCGATTTAACACAACGCACTACAATCAAAAATCAATGCTGCTTCTGCATCATCTTCATTTAAATCAGTCGTGGTTGGAGATAATAATGTTTCACTACCAATAACAATTGCTTTCTATTGAAGCGCTTGTAAAAGTATATTAAAATTCGATGTCATATCAGCTAAAATAGCTTGATAAACTTGTTGAACAACTGGAATACTTTTGATTGTTAAAAAACGATTAAAAAGATGTTTTACATCTTGAATATGCTAGAAGAAAATAATCGAAAAAAAAATCATAAAGAAAATTTTGTTTTCTAATCTTACAGAATTTGAATATAAAAATCGATAAAGCCATATTCGACAATTGGCTGCAAATATTAAACTTGCTAATATTGCACATCAATCATGATCAGCTAAATGAATAATTTTTAAAATTAAACGAAGTAAATTAGCATCGGCTTCATATGATCAATCTTGTGTATGAAAAATAGTTTGTTGAATAATAAAATGAAATATATCTTTTTCAAGTTGTTCATCAAATTGTGCAAACGTTCCCAATAGAATACAAACAGCTATATTGACATGTTTAGCTAGAATGCAAAAGGATTTATCTTGTTTAATTATTGCTGTTCTATGTCAAATTTTTGTAACCAATTATCAACATATTCAATTGGACGTAAAGTTGGTGTTCAAGCAAAATCATCGGAAAGTGGACGAAGAACAGTAGCAAAAGCTTTGAAATATAATATCTTCGGTTAGCCGAGTAGATGTGCTGCACTAGATATCTAATCGTCGGAGTCAATTATTATAGCAGTAATCTGTATAACTCTTGAGTTTAATGGTCAAACACGAAACTAATTTCGCGCACTTATACTGATCATTTTTTGAAACTTATCGTAGATGAGTAGTCATATCCTTTCTAAGATTGAGATATTAGAATAAGTATATCCGATAGAAAAGAAGAATTGCATATTGAGAAAGGACGATAGAGAAGATACAAAAAATGATCCTGCCGTCTTTTGAGTTTTCCCCGACCGTCAGGCATTATTTTAGAATTTGATCACATGAACTCCTCTAAGTGAGTTGTTTAATTGTTTGGGATAGACTACCGAGCATCGACGTTATTAGGCATGGGAAAGTTACTAACAGTTGACGGCATATTGATCCTTGTGGTTAGTCAATTTGTTTGGAAGCTAAGGTGAGTTTGAGTCAGGTCGATCTTTTATTCAGAGTTAGAAGCATCGATCCACGTTACACCGTAAGGTAGCTAATGATCGGAATATTCTTCCTCGATTCAATGATTGTCAGTTTGAATCAATCATTAAAGTATTTTTACTTAAATGCAAAAAATCCGACGGAACGTTTTACAAATCGAGCGAAATTCTATGAAAATCGTAGTACAACACATATTTACTATTATTGATTAATCTATTGTCTTTATCGCATGTCTCAACTTTCCTTTGAAATATTTACCTATATAAAGCAACAATTTTATCGGTAAATGAAATAATATCCTCTTCATCATTTTGTTCTTGATATTCAAATTGCTATAAGAATTAAAAAAACAACCAAAAATTTTTTCTTTCTATTCATATCGATTTTCATTTCCCTGAGCATAATTATCCGCATCTTCAATAAAATGATCTAATAAAGTCAATGTCGTTAGTTGAATTTGTTCAATTCAAAATGGACGAAATTTATATAATGCTTGATCAGTATATTTCAGAATTCTATCAGTAAGTAATGGTTCAATATACCAACCAATCAGAATATTCACAATATCCTATGAAACAAAAAACAAAAATATAAACTAATTTTCTTTTTCAAATTTCATAGAAGAAAAATTTCTTGAAATATTTCTGAATAAATTCTCTAAAAGATCAATAATTGTATCGATAATAACAATCATTAATGGTGCATGATTAACTGATTCAAGAATTTTTTTAATTGTCCACTTATACGTTGAATATGTGAGGTTAAACATAAGATTTCATGTTCATTTAAAATACTATGACGAAATGCATCGATAAGTAATTGTTTTTGAAAATCATTTTTTTCGTACGTCATTTAAACGTTCAAAAATTCATTCAGCAAATCTTGAATAAACGAGAAACAGAAAAAAACGGTATAATTCAAATAATTTTCATTGTCTACTTTGGTTCGCCTTCATTCAGCATGACATAAACGATTAATCTAATACAACGAGCGAGTTCAGATCGAATAGTTTCATTAGATCTGAATGGAAAGTAAAAGATAATTTAATTAACAAATCGTTCTTGAAATTGTTCGAAAAGAAGATTCAGATTCGGTTGAGCTAATTTCATAATAAACTAAAATGAAAGATTATTAGAAATAAGAAACAATATTTGAAATAACTTTGTTACTATCAGATTTTTCAAGATAAGTTTAAAATTGTTGAATATGTTGAATACATATATCAAATGAACGTTCATCACGAAGAATTTTTTTAATAAATGTGAACATTGTGAATCATCATCAAAGATTTTTTGTAAATCTTCAGACATTCCTTCGATATTCTCATCATCATCAGGATTAACTGATTGTAATCGAGAATTCCCACTATGTCATTGACGCGCAGAATCATTATAACGATTGTTACGAGATGGATAAAACGACATAATGTTCTCAAAACATCTAAATAGAAAACATTTAATTTAGTCTGTTAGATCGAGGAAATAATTGGATTTTTAAAAATATTTTTTTATTTCATATTTGGTGTCTAATATTGGTCAGAACCAATCGAATATTATCAACATATCTCTATAGTGATGTTTTTGTTTGATAGATGGCGTATTGTGTCGGTTTAAGCAGTAGTAGTAATGATGTTAACATAAATTTCTTTTTATATCCAGAAACTTTCTGAATAGTGCCTGGAGATTCTCGCTAGGCAACTCAAAAATCTAATCCATGTTTAGTTTAATTTTTTATGGACAATTGAAAAATAAATTATCAAAAAAGGATATTATCACTTCAGAAATGATTCACTTTCTAAGATAATCTGTTACGATAATATGACTAAACGCATTTACATATTTCATATTTTTATCTCTGACGTGAGTTGACGAAGCGAAACTTACTTGTTATGATCATTCATAAGTGGATGTCTTGAGGGTAATCAAGGAGCGCTCGGACCAAAGCTGAGCTCTTGCAATTGTGGATGATGCTCAAGTGTATGTGACAGAAAGCTTAGAGAACAATGTTGAAGTACAATTGATTGTAAGTTCAAAAGACTTGTTTCAATTGGTATGAAATTTTTATTAAATGGTAGAACAATTGGAGTATCTAGAACAATGAATTTAATTGGTTAATCTTTTTTAACCATAAGAAGAGTTTTGTTTTTTATTTGCTTGCTTGCTTTGATTTAGTCTTTCTTTTTATTTTTACAGAAAATTTTCTTGAAAAATCAAAGATATATTTATTTTAGATCATTGTTTTTCTCTGTTGATCATCAATATAAAACAGATTAAATAGATCCACATAAAGGGCAACAAACGGCTAAACAAGAACAAGTTAGTTTAGGTGCACAATTAGCTGAAGGAGAACTTAATTTTGGTGTTGCTCATATTTATGCAAGTTTTAATGATACATTTGTTCATGTCACTGATCTTTTCGGAAAGCAAGACGATTTTTTTGTTTCTTCATATTTCTAAAATTAATATATATTAAAGAAACAATCGCTCGTGTAACAGGTGGAATAAAAGTACAAGTTGATCGTGATCAAGCATCACCATATGCTGCTATGTTAGCTGTACAAGATGTTGCTGAACGTTGTCGTGGATTACGTATAACTGCATTACATGTACGACTTCGTGCAACTGGTGGAAATAAAACCAAAACATCTGAACCT